GCTGGTCAGTCATGTGTCCCAGATCACAACAACTCACTCTGTCAAAAATATTTTCTCAGGTCACCTCTTGTTGTTTTTGCAAATCACTTTAAATATCTGGTTATCAACACCCCAGCCATTGGAAATCAGTCCTCTTTGCTTACTCTATTTAAATGCCTCTCTCTTCTAAGGAGGACAATCTCAGCTTCTCCAAAGTACCCACATTACTGTAAATCCTCATTCCTGAAATGATTCTAATAAGTTTCTTCTGCACCCTCCGAAACCCTTGATGTCCTTGCTCATGTATGATGCTCAAAACTGAACATAATACTCCAGCTGAGGCCTGCCTAGTAATTAATGGAGATTTAGCACATCATCTTTGTTTTCAGGTTTTATGTCTCTAATAGTAATATCAAGAATCCAACAGAGAAGCAACATACTGTGGATGCTGAAAATCCTAGAAATACTCAATAGGTGTGGCAGCAGCTGCGGAGAGAAACAGAGTTAACATTTCAGGTCTGTGACCTCTCATCAGAACTGGGAAAAGTTGAAAATGTAGTAGATTTTAAACAAATGGAAAGAGTGGGAAAAAGAACAAAATAAGGGTAGAAGGTGGAGGGATTGAATGACAGAAGGTTGATGGTAATGGGACAAATGAATAAATAAAAGATGGGTCTAGTGGAGATGTGAGTGGCAGGATCATTTATAAATGATGCACAAAAGCAAAACTAAAAGGGAAATGAGAGAAAAAACAACAAAGATAATGGAAACCAAATTGGAACAGAAATGATGATCTAAAGTTGTTGAATTCAGTGGTGAGGTAAGAAGGTGGTAAAATGCCTGATCAAAAGATGAGATGCTGTTTCTTGAGCTTCTGTTGAGCTTTATTTGAAGAGTACAACAGGCTGAGGACAGAGAGGTTTGAGTGACAGCAAGATAAAGAATTACATTAAAATGTGAGTGGAAACTTAGGGTCATGCTTGATAACATAAGGGAGTTATCAAACAAAGTGATCACATCCAATGGAAAGGAGACTCCACTATGAATGCCGTATGCTACACAGAAAGTGATTGTGAACTATTTTGAAGAATGGTCACTGGACTTGAAACGTTAACTTCGTTTTTTCTACAAGATGCTGCCAGACCTGCAATTTTTGTTGTTTGCTTGTTTCAGATCTCCAGCAGATCTCTGCAGTTCTTTTATAACCTGAAATATTAACTGTTTCTCCTGTACAGATGTTCCCAGGGCAGTCAAGAATCCACTATTCTTTTTAAATGTTTTCCACCTTTGATGTATAGATATGTTATATGCATATGCACCCTCAGGTTTCACTGTTTAAAATTGAATCACATACTTCAAAATTGCCTTTCCTCATTCTTTCCATGAACATAAATCACTTTACACTTACTTGCATTCACTCACGTCTGTCTGTTCTAGCATTTTTGTCTATGGTCTCCTGAAGTCAGTTACTCTTCACCTCACTAGCACACTTCCAATTTTCAGATTAAACTTTTGTGTATGCGCTGTACACCCAGGTCCAGAATAGTTATACCTGAAAGAGTGTTGCTCCATGCACCAAACCCTGGCAAACTTCATTATTTCTTCCTTTCAGTTAGCAAAACAACCATTCACCGCTACTCACTGGTTTTGATCTTAGCCATTCTATACAATGCCCTCCCTTTAACCCCATAGGCTTTCATTTTGACACAGCAAGTCCATTATGAATTTGCCTTATCAAATACCTATTCAAAATCAGAGTAAACTGCATCACAACAGAGAGATGGTGAAGTAATGATACTATAACTGGATGAATAATGAAAAGGTGCAGGCTAATGCTAATGCTGGAGGAATATGGGTGCAGGCTTGGTCTACTCCCACTCTGATTTCCTATATTTTCTAAATCCTATGACAGCAGCTGGTGGAATTTGAATTTTAAAATTATTATCAGTGATGGTGACCACCATCAAGATTTTGTCCTTTAGGGAAGGAGTCTACCATCCTTACCTGGTCTGGCCTGCATGTGGCTCCAGACCCAAAGCAATGCAATTGGCTCTTAGTTGAAGGGTGATTAGGGATGGGCAACAAATGTTCGCCATGGTGTATGATGCCCACATCCCATGAAAGAATAGAGTGAGAAAAACTGCAACCGTCCCTGTTACTTTATCAAAAGACTCAGTCAGTTGTTAGCAATGAATGTTGGTAGGGTTTGAGAAAATGGAACTTATCATCTACAGTGTGCTCTTGGTGGCTGTGACACTGACAACTGAGGTTGGCTTTATCAGGAGGTATTGCAATTCATGGGCACACCATCCGTTTGTTTAACTGAAGGTTTATCTTTGGTGAGGTAGAATCACAGAGCTAGACAAAGAGGCCATTCTGGTCATCCTGCCTGTCCTATCTTTCAAAAAAAGTCTGGACATTCCCTTCCATTTTTTCCTGCTAATGGTGCCTTTCCAACAATATCTCCAATTCCTGGAAGTGAATCTGCATTCTGCTTCCAACAGCAAGTCAGGCAATGTGTTCCAGATCCTAACACTCATTGATTTAAAACTATCTCCTCAACTTTCCTCCAACTCTTGTTGTTATTTTAACAGGCAAGTGTTGTGTATAACCTAGCTTGGTGTGTGCATTATCGTACAATTACAACAAATTAATTAATCCATTGAAAATTGAACTGGAATACAGAGACTAAGGGTTAGAAAAAGTTCCCTGCAACTTTAATGGTATTTTCTGGAGCGTTATACAAATCTGTGTGTTGGCTGTGGTTAGAAATCGGTTTATGGGTTTGTCTTTATTTTTTCTGGAGAAGGAGCTGCAGAAAAGATCTGTACCTTACAGCAAAGTCTGGCCTGATTCCTACGCTGTTTGAGTCATGTGGAAAGTTGGCTTTGCAAACGGTGAAAGTTGCTGCAAAGCGCAGTTACTCGCTAACATCGGGTGAAAGAATAGGCCGGTGCCTTGCCATCTAGTCTCTCAGCCAGATTCACTCGTCAAGAGGGGATCGGTACTGTGGGATCTTCCCCGGCAAGAACTGGCGCCTTCTGGAGCTCTAAGCGATTCCAGTGTAAACCTGCAAGCTCCGATCACCAATATCTCTGAATGGGTCAGTGGGCACGTAACTGGCCGGAGGTAGCAGGGCTCCGGTGTGGAGCTGGGGCTGAGATTCAGGACCTAGATTGGATGAAAGGCCGGATAGCCTGGCATACTGGGTGGGTGCAAGCCCAAGGTGTGAAATGCCGCCTAAGATTGGTGCCAGTCTGCCTGGTCCCGGACAGGTCAATACTCCGAGAGAGCGCGGAAGGGTACATCAACGAGAGAGCTGTTTGTTTACGAGGTGAAGGTGCTCCATCAGGAATTGAATATTTCCCAAATCCATATCTGATGCTCCACTGAACAACCCTTTCATTGTCCCTGTCCCCCGTGCCATCAAGGCTGCTAATAAACCCAAAATGATATCATATGCACGCCCTTCTGGTGTTTCAATACAAACAGGAATCTAGGAATACTGAGCGGGAAATATGTAACGAAAACAGCTTTTGCTGCAGAATCTCAGCTGGCCAAGCAGCCTCTGAAGAGATAGAAACAGAGTTCACGTTACGGGTCCAGTGATCTTTCTTCAGAACGGCCCCACAGATGCTGCCAGACCTGCTGAGGTTTTCCAGCAATTTCTGTTTTTGTTTTTGATTTCCAGGCATCCACAGTTTTTTTTTGTTTCGGGAAAATTTGGGGGTGGAGGGGGGAACAAGATCCTACTAGCACAGGCAGGGGTGTGGAGGCGAAAGAGTGGCTGTGGTTTGGGGCTGGTTCGGAAGCTTTTCTTCATTCTGTTTATAATAATGTGAATAAGTGTTGCAACACCTTTACTGACGACATCAACTGTCATGATGATAAGATACTTCGGGATTCGGGAGAAAGTCATAGGAGATGGAATTGTCGAAGTGAGTCCCACAGGCAGGAGCTGAGGGGAACGGCTGTCACATTGAAGAGGAGTTGGAGACAAACAGAAGGAACAGAGGGTAATGCTAACGGGTTATGTGAGGCAGAATCGGAGGGAAGTCTCAATCACAGCAGCAGCTGTCAGCATTGGCCAAGGTGAGCCGAATCTGTTGGTTCCGGGCTCTAACTGTTTCGAAGACAAAGAACAGAGAGCCACCATTTAGGTCCTCTTAGTGACAAAGGAGTGTATCCCGCCTTTGATGAATCTTACATAAACTGATTTCATAAGCAAACGCCTTTATTTGCGCTGGGGCTGGCCGAGCACATGATGTGACTCTGAGCGGGCACACTGTTCTGTAATAACACAGACACAGAAACGCTCGTATCCCGAGCTCTCTCTCTCTCCCCCCATCCCTATAGACGGAGGAAGAATAAAACCAGCCAGGAACAAATCAGCAGACGGGGGCTGAGGTGTGTGTAGTGAGTGTGTATAGTGTGTATAGTGTGTAGGGGGTGGGGTGGGTGGGGTGGCGGTAGGGAGAGGACGAGGAGGAGGAGGAGGCCAGAGAGCGGTGTACGCGCGGAGCCGTGAACAACTCAGCCGGAAAATGGCAAAACCCATTCTATTCAAACGCCTCACCTCCCCAGTCCCTGGCAAAGTCTGCTTTCAGTTTGACAACTTCTTCCCCTTAATCCTCAGGTAGGAAGAGAGTTCTGAATAAACTCAGTTTGCCGCTGACTTTAGGTGTGCGCCTCTCTGTGAATTCCTGGTGTCTCTCTCTCTCTCTGTGCGTCTGTGTGTGTGTGTGTGTGTGTGTGTGTGTGTGTGTAATCACCCGGCTATTGGGGTGAATCTTGTTAAAGCAGACAATCTGGACGAACTGACCAGTCCTGCCCCACCCCCGGGCTCCCGGGATGGACGCAAACACACACACACACACACATACACACACAAGTTCACAATTCAGGTTTTGCACCAGAGTCAGTCCAATGAGTGTATTTGGATCCCCCCCCACCCCCCCTTCCCCCCCCCCCCCCCGGCCTGAGAGAACCGCCAGGTGAATATGTTCAATAAAACACACTACCTTCAACACAGCAAACCCTCCAGAGCCCCGAGTGAATCATCGAGCCTTTCTCCTTTTTCACTTCGTTTTCCTCGCTGGTGCCGTTGGTACTGTTACAGATATAAGCCCGGGAGTGCAGCCAGTAATCCGTGCCGATCGCTATACTCATCAGGCTGAAAGCTGCGAAAGCGCCCATGATGGTGAACAGCATCTGTACGCCGGGGTCACACCAGCCCATGGTGTCTCATAGCCCGGCCAGCGAGAGGCGGGGAGATCGAGAGAAGCGGCGGATTCCCCTGGCAGGCCCCCAGCTCTCCCTAAGGCCGGCCCTAGGGGAACGGGCAGCTCTCCCGGGCCACATCCCGCTCCACCCCGCTTCCCATCTGGCCTGGGGCTGCCTGCTCTCTTACTCTCGCTCCCTTACCGCACCAAACCCCAACCCCTTCCTCCTCCTTTTGCCTCTGTCCCGGGCTGGGCTTACTCTCCGGGACCGCGGCCCCTCCGGCAGAACCGAGCCATTGGAAAGGAGCAACGCTGCTTCAAACTTCAATGTCCTGCTTCACAGCTCCATTTCCTGTTGCTCCTTGTCTCACTCACCGAGCCTCCTGGTGCTTGTGGGGAGGGGGGAGGCAATGTGACGGCGAGAGACAGGGAGAGGGGGGCGGGTGGTTTGGAGGGGGGTCTGTAATGAGAATTCAAAAGAGGCTCCGCGAGCCACTGCCTCCTGTATCTGTTCCTCACTCTCTCCTTTGTACGTGAGCTTAACAGCAAACCTCACTGAGAGATTCCAGCGCCAGCTCCTTCAACCGCTGCTCAGCATCTCCCGAGTTCTCTATTGTGGCTCTGACATTTCCAGTGTTTCTTTCAGCAGCCGCTGCCCGGTTAGAAGTCGTGCCTAGTGGCATCGCGGAGTACCAACATCGTGTGAAAAAAGAACCTAAATCCGCGTTCGCAAGGGACGCGTGTTTGTTCTGGAATGTGGAGCTTTTAGTTCAGATTGGAGTTTGAAGGGAGAGCATTCTGAAAGGAGGTGAATTGGAAGAACTGCCCGGTTCTATGAAGCAGCCAACATCATCCCGATGGGCCGAATGCCCACCTCCACTCCACTCTGTCTTGGAGATACCGGAATAACGGGCAAATTTGTTGCTGAAACTGCAAAGCTCACCCACGAAGGGACTCAGCATCCCATTGGAAAAGGTGTGGGTGGACTGGGAGTCACTGCTCAGTCAGAGGGAGGGCTGGTCACTCGGAGGGTCCCTTCCACAATATGAAGAGGGATGGTGCTGCATTTCTTCCTACCGACACGAAGACTGTTACCCGCCACCCCACCCCGTAACGCCCCCAGGCGGAATTCACCGGGAATCGCTTCTCCTCAGTCCCAACACCGCCCCCCCACCTTCCAACCTTCCCCTCTCTCTATATATCCACCCGGCCTCTAAGGGTCCTTATGCTCACAGCCGGGCCTCTGCTGGTGCCCAGTCACCAATTCCTTCAAGGTTCCTGCTACAGCCTACCCCCAAAAGGCTGATGATACCGTCCAAGACCCCAAATGCCATCCTCAGTAATTCATCCTGAGGTGAATAATCGAGATGGTATTGAAGAGGAAAGCTGTGGAAGAGGGAGTCAGGTGCTGATAGGGTTAGATATGGGGAGCGGAGAAAGGGGGTGAATCAGCAGCATGGGGGCTTTGGGCCGAAGGGTCACTCTGTGAGCTGGATATCCCGTGTCGCCTTGTACCTAGTGAGGAGATGGCGGGGTGGGGAGTTTAACTTTCCATATTCCTAAGTGTTTTCTCGTTTAAGAAACAAACATTGCGTTTGATTTAATAAAACAAAGAACCGCGGATGCTAAGGATCTGAAACAAAAAAACAGAAATCGCTGGGGGTAACTCAGCATCTGTGGAGAGAGAGTCACAGAGTTAACGTTTCGAGTCTGGTGTGAATCTTCATTAGAAACCTGCTGAGTTTCTCCAGCAATTTCTGATCATATTTGATTTCGCTTCCTCTGGCTATGAAAGGGTTTTTTTTATTTGTTGTGGTTGTTGTGCTGGCGCTTGGGAGTTGGATCGTGGAGGAGATGAACCGGGCAGTTTTTCGCCACTGGACGCGGGGGAGGTGGCGGGGGGAGGGGGAGGGGGCTTGCAAGGTGCCCAAGATCGCCCCTATCACACGTTTTCTTTGGGAACAGAATAGCGGTGCTGGCGGGGCCACCACGTAAGCCTGTTAGACCGACAGCTTTGGGATCGTTCTGTGCAGTGCAAAGTTCCTCCCTCGCCCCCTTGGCACTGCCAACCTAGACCAACTTTTCTGGCTTCAGATAAACACAATGTACTCATCCAGTCAACAAACAAGAAACTCACTCACTCAACCTAAAGCTTGGTGCAAATAATAGGTATTTTCCGTCAAGCTGCCCGAGTGTAGCACACCTCTGGAGTAGGTGGGATTTGAACCCAAACCTTTTGGATCAAAGGTATGGACACTACTACTTAGTCACAACGATGTTCCTTCCATTCTCGCTTTTTTACACAGCCGGGAGTGCTCATACACACAGGAAAAGAACGGGTCTTTTTCACCATCACCTAGTCACCATGGTATTTTTTTTCATCTATGAACCACCACTAGTAAATCTCCGCGCTTTCCAATTGATTATTTTACCCGTGAAGGGCAATGCAGGCTGTCAAAGTTGAGGGAGAGGGAGGGCTCTACTTCAAAATGCAGTTGGAAGGGCAGATAATGGAGTGTCTTGCAGCAGACTGACCCATAACAACGAGCAGGAACGACATTGAATCACACTGCATCGACTGTTCTGTGTTCAAACTCATTGTGCCAAAAGAGATCAGTCCAGGGGTTGGAATTTTTCATAGGTTACTCCACTCCCACCTTTTACACACACACACACACACACACAGACACACAGACACACACACATACAGACATACACACACACACACTCACACACACTTGTTTCTGTCTGAAAGGTGATATTTCAGATTCCATATTAAAACTAATTGACAATCAAGCGGAGAGACAACTTGCGTTTCAAGTTCCAATATCCGACGAGTAAAAAGCTTTGGGATTTAGAAACAGTAACCTGCCCCTCTCTTACGGGGCCAAGGCTGACTGTCCTTCTCCAGCTGTTGTAAACCTCTCAAGGTCTCAGCCCCTCCCTATCCCTGTAATCTCCTCCTGGGAATCTGTATCTCTCCAGCTCCGGTTTCTTGTCCCTCCCCACATCCTCCATTTCGACTTTGCCGGTCTTAAACTGCACCCCTCCGACCCCCACCCCGTGCTTAGCTTTGAGGTCCCTGCCTCTGTCGACCTTCCTTTGACCAGCTGTTGAGTAGCACCCCCGGTGTCTGCTTCTTTGCTTCCGCTTTTCAAGCCCCTTGCAGCACGAGAGGCGCTTTGACAATGCAAGCTTTCTTTTTAATTATCCAAACCTCTCTTTGTTGTGTCAATATAACGCAAATTCTTCCAGTGCCTGAGAAATAAATGTCTTAGTGTAAGCGAATGCATGTTGAAAATGTCAAAGAAATAGTTTTCTTTCCAAGAGCATTGGCTCCGTATTAACCAGGCGGCTGATGTGGTAAATTTACATTAAGCACTCGAGAACCGTCTACAGTACGGCTCAAACATGGACCGTTCCATTGAAATGAAAGGGGGCTGTCTAATGTTTGACAAGCCTCTTATTGTTTAGACTACGAGTCAGCGATGCTGTTTGAAACTATCCGAGATATCCGTTTATTTCAGCAGCTAAAGGCCCAGTTTGAGGTTACATTGCAATGCAGGAATATTTTCTTCTAAAGAAAAAGACAGAATTTGCCTTGCAGCCGGGGTCGGGGGGGCGGGGGGGGGGGGGGATATTTAACGATCGGGGATCGACAGATTGGGTCAGTGCTGACTTGACTGCTGTGAGCAATGGATGGGAGACAGCGCTTTATGACAGGGGCTGCCCATTGTTGGCCGGGGAGGAGGAGGCACAGGCTGCTGTTATGGAATAGGCGAATGGGAGGTGATGCGAAGGATGCACACGCTGCCGGCGTCCCGGTTCCTTTCTAAAGGCCACAATTTTAACAATTCTGTCACGTGTGGTGTGGTGAACGCTGAACAGCAAATCTTAAATAAACACAAGTTGTCTGCCGCTCATTCCCAACGCAGACACACACACACCGACAGACAACACATACACATTTATACACACAGACAGACACACTGACACACAGACACAATGACACACAGATATACACACATTGACACACAGGCACAGACAGTCACACACAGACTGATGCACTGACACAGACACGCTTACACAACATAGATACACATTGACACACAGACACAGACACACACACAGATACTTAAACCCAGAACACAACAACACCACTGATTCCATTTAAAAACCACAAATTAATCCAGTCAGGCCAATCACAATTTTAAAAAGGAATGTAAGATACATTGGATCCTTTTTAAAGGCAATCTTGTAAAATGACGCCAGTTTACTTCTGCCTTATAGGTCTGCAATAAATTAATATTTTAAAAAGTCCAGTCTTAGTAATAAATGAGCAGCATTCCGAATGAATATGTCTGACGGACCTTCACATTTGTTACTTGAGGATTCCAGACCCGATATAAACACACCTGTACATTCCATGCAGGAATTTGAAAAGGATTGGAGATCTCTGGGGTTGGTGGAAAGGATGTGACCCCTCTGAGGGTATATCGGGTCAGTGTGATTTCTGAACTGCGACACCCACTCGTCTGTGTGCCATCTACTAAAAGCCAGACTGTTGCCAGGTAACAATGGTCTCCTCCCATTTAGCAGGCTAAAAAACAGCAAGCCCTGAGAGTCGTGTCAGAAAGCATTTCCCAAGAGGTTCAGAGATAGTAGGAAATGCAGATGCTGGATAATCTGAGATAACAAGGAGTAGAGCTGGATGAACACAGCAGGCCAAGCAGCATCAGAGGAGATGGAAGGCTGACGTTTCGGGCCTAGACCCTTCTTCAGACTGAAGTGGAATGGGCGGGCGGCTGACTCCAGTCCTGCTGAGATAAGATTCCTGTCTCTGGAAAGCATCCTATTGAGAATTCCAAACACAGGAATAGACGCCCAGGAGAACTGGTCCCCACTGTATTGGGATGAGTTATAGCACCAACGAACCGCTGATGTTAACTGTGTTAGAATGGGCTTCAACACTGAGATACTCCCGAAACAAAATAGATTTCACTGCTACACGGTCTT